ATCTCTCCGCGGACCACCTGGCCATAGACGTCGACTCCCAGAATGACGTCCACCTCTGCCGGCACTGCGAAGTCCGGGTCCGCGAGCTGAAGGTCCGTCAGGTGAGGCCAGGCCGTCTCCGCGTTGTGTCTGGCGGAGAGGAGGTTAGTCAGTCGACGTAGCACGAACGCGTCGGTCTCGACCCGCAGTGCCGGGCCTACACAGGAACCGACAATGAGCCTCACGGAGGACGTAGCCTGTCCCGTCCGAGTACCCTGCAGGCCTGCCACCGTCACCTTGACCCGTCGGCGCTTGAGTCGAAGCTGCTGGGCCACGCGCTCGGTCACGAAGGACGCTTCGGAGCCCGTATCGAGAAGAGCCCTGACCTTGAGTTCCTGTCCCGCTTCCCCTCGCAACAGGACCCGCGCTGTTGTCAGCGGGACCGATCGCCCCTCCGGAGCCGCCACTGGGTTCAAGCTAGCACTCAAGGAGCTCATGTCGGCTACGGCCCCTTCCTCCTCTTGATTTAGCAAGCTCTTGTTACCGACCGCGGTTTGGGATTTAGAATTCAGGCCGTGCAGAGTAGTATGATGCCGCCCGGCGCAGACCAGACAGCGTCCGCTCGACGGGCACGCGTCGGCGGTATGACCGGGTCTTATGCAATTCAGACACGCTCCTAGTTTCTTGACCTGTTCGCCTCTCTGAGCCACGGGCAGGTTCTTGTACTTCTGGCAATATGATAGCGGGTGTCCTCCCTGGCACATCGAACAGACCTTCGCGGAATTCGCTTTCGACACCACCGCGGCGTTCAGCGACGTCCGCGTCGTCTTCGTGGCCGGTTTCGCACTGGAGCCGGTTCCCGCCCTTGTCGGAAGTGACGGCTCTATCTTTGCTGCCTCCAACGCGCGAATCCGATTCTCCAGGTAGGCCTGCAGCTGTGCATATGTCGGAAATTCGCGCGAGTCCGATAGCGACGTCTCCCAGTACATCCGCGTCATGGAATCTAGTTTGCTGACCAGGAGGTGCACGAACCAGTCGTCCCAGTGTTCGACTGGCCGCTTTAAGGCAGCGAGAGCACGCCGCGATTGGTTGAGCACACCGAGCACTCGCTTGATCTCCGCTGCCGAAGACTTGACCGCGGCCGGACAAGAGAGAACATGCCGCATGTGCTCGCTAAGGAGGACGCGCTGATTATCGTATCGGGCTAGCAAATCCTGCCAGACTCCCTTATAAGCCGAGTCCGTCAGGGACACGCCGGCGACGACCTCGGCGGCCTCTCCCGTCAGACATCCCATGAGATACTGTAGCTTTTGAACGCGCGGGACCTCCGTCACGTCATGAACTAGGGAGCGGAATAAGTTCCGGAAGCCTTCCTATTCGAGCTGATTCCCGTCGAATTTCGGGAGCGCAAGCTTGGGTAACTGCATCTGTTTAAGCACCGGCGCGACCGACGTTGTCCTCGCGACTTCCCCTTCGCGAGTCGCGACGGGAGCCGTCGACTTTAGGTCTTCTAATAACTCGCGAAGTTGGGCGCGCATACTGAAATACGACTCCTCAGTTAACATGAAGAGATCGTCCTTCATATAGGACGTCTTCTCTGCTCCGGATTCTACCGCAATCAAAAAGTGCGTATCCTGGTACCGCGCCCAGTCATCGAGTCGAGCAATCCGGGAGGAAACTTCACTTGCCGTGATTCGCGCCTACCCCAATTTATGTAAATTCACGAGCATTCTCGAAATGTATCCCGCTACTAACGCTTGTTGCTCAATAGCATTCTCGAGAGAACTCATGATGCCATGGTAACTGAAACCTCCCTTTATAAGCTTGAGAGATTCGAAGACACCCGAGTCGCGAGTGAAAAGACGGTTCGCGATAGCCCGGCGAGCCCAACAAGTATCAAGCGCACCGTGCTGCACGGATGCCCGCCTCCTCTGTCGGCACTTGAGAACCCCTGCTTACCACATCCACGCCACGACGGCCTCCGGATACGTATAGAGCGAATTCGGAAACGCTCTCAGGTTTCCACAAGGTTGCCGTGTCCTACGACTTCGTTGCTCTCCGTCGGGCAGTCAAGGTTGCCAAGAAGGAGCTAAGGACGCGGCTTCTTGAGAGCACACTGGATCCTCACTCACTCGCGACCGATACGTCATAGGCCCCACACAAGCGTATGACGGCCGCCTT